AGAACATGTAAGATGTGGACAAAGACGAATAGAATATGTGAATTAAATCATAGGTTTTTGAAAGACAGAGACGGGGGCGGAGTTAGAATTTTTTTTCTAGAGGTTAAATTTAATGTAACCGACAATGTAAACTAAATATATAGTTTATTAATTCAGATTACCGAAGTCTAACGCAATGAGAATAAAGTAGCTCATGAGTTAGCTCATTTTGTATTACCTTTAAATAGTAGCGTTGTATGTCTGGAACAGGCACAAGACTTTGTTGTGTCTCTCCTTTTTGCTGATATTCCTGAGTAATAATTTTTTTACCAATGATTCTCAAAAAAAAATTCAGATTCTCGATACATAAAAATATATCTAACAAAATAATATATGTGAGGAAAAAATAAAATAAAGATACGAAAAAAAATTAAAGATGAACAAAAAATAATTTTAAGTACATATCAATTTAGTCATATTTTTAATCCGTAATACACTTTTTAACAATTTTTTCTATCTAACTAGTTAAAGAGTTTATAATGAAATCGTTGTCTATTGTATTGCAAAACCTTCTTTTAACAATATTTGACATAATATGATTAAAAGTCCTAATTTACTAGGCTTTGGATTGACCATAGATTAAACCAACACTTATTTATGAGATTACGTTGTGCAAAGAATATTTATCTGGTTATTTCACTCTAGTTTATTACTTTTACAATCAACGATTATGAATAATCAAAACTAAATCTTAAGTTCCAAAATCATTTGGAGGTATAATATCGTTTTTTTTTCTTCTACCATAATGTAAATCATACCACTAATAAATTAGAAACTTTGAAAGCATAATTTGATGATGTATATATGTGTTTATGCAAAATCAATTAAGGATGTGATGGTGTATATGATGGAGGATGCTCAACACAGTAAGAGACACAGATTAGATGGTTTGATCAGGGTGATCTACTCCACTGGGAATAACTACGGTGACCAGAGAGTCTATTACTCAAGTGTGTAGAGTTCTGAGATTTGTGTGACATCCCCCATGTGTAGGCTTGGCTTACAATTTATAGGCAAGTGAAGTTGGCTTCGAGGAGCTCTGATTGAGGCCCCATCCTCTTAACAAGGAGCGGGGTGATTTCGTGAAGTTCGCCTTACCCTTGTAACAGGCGAGGTAATAGAGGGATAATTCTTTAAAGCTCGCTTTATTTCATAACGGGCGAGATGATCTCGTGAGACTAGCAATATGTCCTTGATGACTATGTTCCCACAGATTCCCGCTTTTTGGATGGAGATTTCCACGTGCGCTGACAATGAACTAGGTCTCTCAGGAAGGTGGACTTGACCCAAATGAAATTGTGATTGAGTCTTTATTGGTCTGTATATGTGATCTAGGCTTACTCTGGGTCGGGCTCATTATCATTTAATGAAATAGTAACATTATCCTACAGGTTTGAATCAAATTGTCCGTCAATACACAAGTAAAAATATGGCATAATTATCTTGCTCTTTTCAAACTATACACTTAATTACACTTTTTTCTCACCTAGATTAAACATATAGCTCTCTAAAATTGGAAAAGTGGGGTGGCAACTTTTTATAAAGAGAAGAGATGGTAAAGCTTCTTCAAAAGTGTAAACCCTCCTACGACAAAAAGATTGTATAGCATCAAAGCAAGGACTGCCAAGTTACTAAAGCAAAAGAGCAATGTGATTTTTTTATGCAGAGGAATCATGTTTGATAAGGCTAAAGTTTTAAGAGATTCTTCTCTCAGGTATCAAAACAAATCATTGCTAATTTTTCAGGACCACAATCTGTGGAACTATAAGAAGATTAAGCCCATTGCGTGCCGCACGCGTGATCTTGTGGGTCCCATTTGGTTGGATTTGTAAGTTAATTAAGGTGTTTTATTAACTATTTCAGGTACAAATCACTGATGTTTAACACATGCAAACATTTCTTTCCCCCCCTGCATCTGACCTGTTTCCAAACAAGGGGATATCTGAAAGGTGTTCGACCAAATTACCCACAGAATATTATTTTAGGGTCAATTATACAGGAGAGTCTCAATGTATAAATTTATCTCATTTTAATCTCTAATATTTCAATTGTATTATTTTGGTACTCGGAAGAATATGGTCTCTCAAACAAACATCTAAATTGTTAACGATTTTTTATAATAAAATTATCACGTGACACCTAAATATGGATAAAAAATAATTTGACTAGCTCTTTAGTCTTAACCACAATTTAAATAGCTCTTCACCAAAAATGTGTAATATAGGTAGCTCTTGACCAAAATTTGGATAATTCATGATCAAAACTGTAAAATTTGGGTAATTCTTTAACCAAAATTTGGGTAGAAAATTGGTCAGGAATTATCCAAATTATTTTTTTGTCAATATTTAGGTGTTACATGACATGTTTATAATAAAAAATCGTTAATAATCTGAACATTGTCTACTAAAGCGACCAAATATAAATATATTCAATATTTCAGAGACTAAAATGATAAAATTGAAATATTGAGAATCAGAATGAAACANTTGATAAGTTAGGTGTGCTATCTCAATCATCACCCATCATACCTTTCCATTGTCTATTATTCTCACTGTACATCATCAATTCATGTGGGTCTCTTCCATTTCACAAATCAAGTCACTTCTGTCCCACAAGTGGAGGAATAAAATCAATGATGGCCCACTTCTACAGTGGTCTGTACCACACTGGATCAATGGGGGAGAAAATGAGCCGTTAATGTAGGAATAACTTTCGATTCCAGCAAGATCACAACCTTATACAGTGTTGACCAGATACTTCTGGTTTGACCAGTATGGTTGTTGATGGCTTTGTACAGGCTATACACACTAGAAAGTCCAGACACCTACAGCTGGAACCGTACAAGGACAATGAGGTAATTTTAATGATGAGATTCCATTATTCCTTACGCTGAGAGAACCAAAAGCCCAAAGTAAAAGAAAAAGATTGCACTGACAAATCAATTTAAATAAAACATTTAACTGTTCTCCAGCTTAAAAAAGAAACAATAAAAGAAAAAAGAGAAACTACACAATACAGTGCAACAGCAGCACTTTCTGTAGACTGTCCAATCTGGACCATACATTGCACTGTGTGTCTACCACATAACAAGTTATTCAGGATGTATCTTTTGCATGGGGTATACGATGCTCATATTGCAAATGGTTTGGAGGATTGATTTGGTGGGACATGAGTAACAGTGATGAACAAGAACAGTAGAGTTCATGGGGGGTGATGGACCTCAGGTGCACAATGGGTGTTTCTCAAAAGTATTGTTGGGTTAGTTGGCACTAAGAAAATCGAGTGTGCAACAGCAAAGATAGGTCTGTTAGAATAGTTGGCAAATGTGTCAGTAAAAAAAAGAAGCAAAAGGGGTATGTCAAGAAAGCAAGCTTGGACTTGAAGAGAAGAACCTCTCCAATCTATTATGAGATGTAAAAGAACAAAAGATATATAAAATTAGTATGTGTATTATAAGTAGAAAAATATGGGTGGGATGAGAAATTTTGATAACATCAATACATAATTAATGTATTTGAATTTAATCTAAGTAGATTAAATGGATGAATACGATAAGAGTTGTTAAATAGGATTTCAATAAGATATAATTTTGATACAACATGAGTTTTACTGTTTTTTTTATATAAATAATTGAATCTACATCGATTATTTTTTTGAATTCAACGAATAATCATTATAACTTAAACCAATCTATAACACAAAGACAAGGTTGCTAACACAATTTAAACAAGAAGAAATCAAACTCGTTTTTCCAGCGGTATGTGCGGGAGAAGAGAGAAATTAGGTTCTGTAATCATTTAAAAGCAAGAGCAGTTGGCAGTAGTTAGTCTGTCATTTAAAATCATACATGCCACCAGTTAAGTTGGGCAGATAAGTTTTTCTTCTCTTTATATGGTGTCACTCACCACTCTGTAGCTCCTAGCTCTGTATATCTTCTTTGATCCCTTAAGATCGGAATTTGATGCTTGTTTTGCTTTTTCTGCAAGTACCCAGTTGGTGAATTTGGTCATTCTTGTATAAGTTAAGCAAGCATTTGATACTATTCACTATTCAGCGGTTGTCTCAAACATCTAATTTAGGGGACTGTTCTGAGTCCCTGCCCATAGAATTTGATTCTTTCTGTTCCTTTTGGGCTACCTATCTGAAAACATCTCAAAAGGGTCTCTGCAAACTGCTCATTCTGGGTTCTTGTGGGGTTATTGNTGAAAACATCTCAAAAGGGTCTCTGCAAACTGCTCTTTCTGGGTTCTTGTGGGGTTATTGGTTGTTGGTACGAAGCTTCCAATTGAAAACTGGTATATTTTAAATTAGGGCTTGTTTGGACACCATTTGGGTTCTGTTTTAATTGCTTGAAGCTTAGAGGGAAGGGAAACTCATCATTTGGGTTCAAGTGAAAAGATTGGAGTCTCATTTTGGATCATACATTGTTTGATTGGGTGTTCTGTGTGAGGGTTGTAAAGAAAATTGGAAAAGGAACTCTGCTTTCTTTTTGGTACTCTGGTGGGCTATTACTCAGCTAATGCCATACACTTCTCTCTACTTTATGCTCTGAAAGGTTGACACTTTCTTGTCTCTATGATTCACTTTTCCCCATATCAAAATAGGCTTAATCCTATGGTTTTTTGAAAGTAGCGGTAAGTAGCTGTTGATGCGTAGATTTTATGCCTGGTACTTTGGATTTCAACTTTTTCTTTGTGTCTATAGGGTTCTGCAAGGAGGGCTTCTTTTGCTTTAAACCCTTCCCAGCTCTATAAAGCTGCCTAGGTTGTTTGTTCCTTGTTGAGTCTTGCAAGATATTAGCAGCTATTTTTGGTCAAACTCACTTTTTCTTTAAGTCATATAGTTCCTTCTGTTGAGTAACTGTCAAGTCCTCTTTATCCTAAGTACTGAATTGGGGTTTCTTTTTGAAGGTGTATTGGTTGAGTTCCATAGATTTGGGTTTTTCTTGTTGTGTTGTGACCATGGGTACCGAAGATAATGGTGATATGGGTTTTCAACATAGAGGCTCTTCTTCTGGAATGAACCCAATTTCAGTGTCTGGGAAGATTTTAGGAAGAGCAATGAGCTCAGGGGCCATAATAAAATCTACAAATGGGGCAGACCCTTTCTTTGGTTCTGGTTGGGATTCACTTTCAATGAGTCAGAGTGAGAATTTTGGAGGTTCCTCAATGGTACCTCTCACTGACGTTGCCAATCCACCCTTCCCACTTTTGCTGACAAATCAGGCAATTGATAGCTCTTCCCACCTTGTTCATTACCCATCTGATTTGGGTCTTGTTGATATGGTGCCAAAGCTTCCAAGTTTTGGAAGTGGAAACTTCTCAGAAATGGTCAGTTCCTTTGGCCTACCTGAGAGTGGACAGATCACAAACTCTGGCTGCCCTATAAATTATCTCCGAAACAGGGAGGGTGGCACTGCCAATACCTCAACCAATAACGCAGATTGTCAGGAGAACTGCCAAGTTTCAGAAGAGGGATCATCACCTAATGGAAGGAGGAAAAGGAGAGCATCAAATTCCCCTTCGCCTATGAACACCAATAAGGTAAATTGTCTTTAGAATTGTTAATTATCTGTTGAGTNGAAGAGGGATCATCACCTAATGGAAGGAGGAAAAGGAGAGCATCAAATTCCCCTTCTCCTATGAACACCAATAAGGTAAATTGTCTTTAGAATTGTTAATTATCTGTTGAATTACAGCGATAATGTGGCACTTTTGTTGTGTCATACCCCAGTTGGTGAATTCTTTGTTATTCGTTATAGAATGCCGAACGAGAGCAGCATAAGGAGTCTTCCAAGGACAGTTCAGAATGTCTAAAAGAACAGGAAGAAAAGAAGCAAAAAATTGAACAAAACATTAGTGCCAATTTGCGCGGTAAGCAAACAAGTAAACAAGCTAAGGATAATTCCAACAGTGGAGAAGCTCCTAAAGAAAATTACATTCATGTGAGGGCCAAACGAGGCCAGGCTACGAATAGTCATAGCCTCGCGGAAAGGGTATCTTCTGAATCTTATGTAGTTAATTTTATTGAATTTTCAAGTTGCTCATATCTAAAATGACCTTGAAAGTCTTTTACTCTCTTTGACTTGCAGGTGAGGAGAGAGAGGATTAGTGAGCGGATGAGATTGCTTCAAGAACTTGTTCCGGGCTGCAATAAGGTAACTGGCTAAGTTCTAGCTTCTGATTCTTAATACTTTGAATTAATCAATTATTATTACTTAATTTTGTTGTTATTTCTGATTGAAGATAACTGGGAAAGCGGTAATGCTCGATGAAATCATCAACTATGTCCAATCGCTGCAACAGCAGGTCGAGGTATGCAATTTGCATCTCTAGTGGATATCATTTGTTATTTTCTTTGTAATTGAGGATATACATCTGACAATACCAATGAATCAGCCTCACCATGGTAGATTCGGACCTTAAGGATGAATTGTAGTTCAAAATATGCATCCACTGGGCATACTTTAGAATTTGGGTAATTGTAAACTCGACTGTAGAAGTCTTTCCTGTAAACTCGATTGTAGTTCTATTTGATTTTGTCAATAAAAACAGACCTGAGGTACTATTGGTCGTGTTACTGTGACTAAACTAATATAAATGAATGGGCTCATGAAAAGACATTAATCATTGCAGGACCAATTTCTCAGCATCTATTAATTCTTTAGAATTCCAGGAAATCATACTAAAATAGCAGAACATGATATATGGTTATCCGCAAATCCTAGGCAAATGTAATTGAACTGTTCTGTTTACATTTATCCGATGATGTTGTAAATATGTACTTAATTTTTTCTCACAGTTTTTGTCAATGAAACTTGCCACTGTGAATCCGGAGCTGAACGATGATATAGAACGGATTCTGACCAAAGATGTAAGTGAATATAAACACTGATGGTAGAGAAGTGCACAAGTTCATCAACACATTATTATTTTTGATGCGTAGTGGGGATTATGAATTTCATGCTCGTTTCGCTTTTGGTAGATTCTCCACTCACGAGGAAGCAATGCAGCTATTTTTGGATTTGGACCAGGATTGAGCTCCTCCTATCCTTTCCCCCAGGGAATTCCACAAGGAACCTCCTTGAGTATCCCATTTACAACTCCACCATTGAATCCCATGGCTCAGGTAGCATCAAGATGTCATTATCCTGCTCCTAGTCTTTCCTCTTTCGAAGATTAACTAAGAAATCTTCTCGGTTACACAGGCCGCATGGGACAATGAGCTTCACAGTATACTACAAATGGGATTTGATTCTAACTCAGCAGCTATCAACAGTTTGGGACCAAATGGTAACTGCCAGAAGTTCTACCTAAGATGTTGGAAAAATCAATTATTCATTTATGTGTCTTATGTCCTAACCTTATTATTCATCGCATTTAACAGGGTGCTCAAAATCGGGACTATAGAATATTGGAAGAGAGAAAAATATTTGTTTCCCCCTACACTAGGATTCGAATATCTCCAAGCTGACTGCAGATTTGATTCCATTAGGAAAGAAAAAATTTGGCTCAATTATTCAGAATTGTATAGGTTGTCAGCTCCTAACGGTGTTCTTCGTTTTTTAGCAGAAGAAGGTGACTTGTTAGATTAGCAAATTCAAACAGACAGCAAAAACGAGGCTTTCGATTGGTGAAGATGGTCATTTGCATTGGTATTGTAGAGTAATTATGTTAGCAATGCTTTGTCACGATTTTGGAGAAATCGACCATGNCAGCTCCTAACGGTGTTCTTCGTTTTTTAGCAGAAGAAGGTGACTTGTTAGATTAGAAAATTCAAACAGACAGCAAAAACGAGGCTTTCGATTGGTGAAGATGGTCATTTGCATTGGTAGTGTAGAGTAATTATGTTAGCAATGCTTTGTCACGATTTTGGAGAAATCGACCATGGAAAAGATGCTTTGTACACCGCATCAAAGCTAGCAATTAAAGTGGATTGGCGCTGAGATTGCTATTGAGTTTGATGTCATTCCTTCAAAGACAAGCTCCATCATATACCCAATAAATTGGCAAATGAGTTTCTCCACTTTTTGTATGTCTGGAACTTGATGATGCTGAAACTGGTTGTCTATCATAGTTTGAGTTGAGCTGCTTTGTTTTGCTTTAACCTAACAATATATTGAATTTGAATGATGCATGTTTGTAAAGGCTGAGGAAGGGGTCTCCAGAGGAGAATGTGTCATCCGGTCGAAGGGCCACATGGCAGGGTGTGGGTAATACACATGTCAGGATTCTATAGGCTCCTGTGCATGCAACATAGAAAAAATCATTGCACTACCATTAGTGTATGAAGAGTTGGCATACATGTAGTGAGAGAGGCAGAGAGGCCTATGAGATTGTGAGAATATCAGTCTGCTTGAGTAAGTAAAATGTACAAATGCAAATATTAATAAGCAGGCAAGTTTGCTTGATCACAGACATGGCCTGTTACCAAAACAAAGGACCATAGACAGGGCAAGCAGGAAAGTGTGTAGTTCAGATTATTCATAGTAAGTTACCATTGGGAAACGCTTTTTAATTGCATACGTCGTTCTAATTTTGAATAAGATAAATACCTTATACATGGTGATTGTAGACACAACCAACAACTTACACAAACTCGACATGAATTTAACAAGTTTAATTTAAGACTCTGTAAGTTAAGATGGCGAATGGGTGAACCCATTAGACTCATCAAATAAATGGATAAACATGTTAAACAAAAAACAAACTAAATAAATACAGCTCGTATACGACACAAACTCGACACGACACGACAAAAATTCAGTTATACATGGTTATAAACTAGTCTGATATAGGTCGAACAAATTTTAAAACACGACCAGTTACTATAATTTTTAATTAAAACCCAATATATAAATTGGCCTTATGAGTCTTGTTTAGGAACTTTTTTTGGTTAAGTTACAAGCTAAAAGGGTCTTTTTACTATTGATACTAATATGCTAGGATTGATACTAAATACTTTTAATACCCATTTTGGCATTACCTCTGAAGATTGAATTGTATCATCACCTCTAATTTTGGAATAACCCTGATGAAATACTAAAAAATACTTTTAAAAATTGTAGCATTACACTAAAAATTCTAGGCAAGATCATACTATAACTCAAATGCACCAGAATTTCTTCGCGTCATGGCCTTTGTATCATCTTGGCGAAGTTTTAGTAGATACTACATGAGTATATGGCTCAAGAGAAGAAGATTATTCTAAAAAGCCCCAAGCCAATCAAAACAAAAACATTGGGGAGGCTAATTTAGACTGCACCCAATAAACACCAAGAAGGCCTGGTGCATACGTGTTGCTTATAAGTTTATTTAGATACTAGCAATGCTATCGGGACCTATTACGTTGTAGTCCTTAGATTGACTGTGGACCCATCAAATATTAAAATTTGATGTTAATTTAATAATTACAATAAATCAGTATCATTTAGTCAACAAATTAGGTTAGATTTTTAGATTATAATAACATTACTTTTTAAATAAAAGGAAAGGCACTGAGATGTGATTTCACAAAGGTCTTGTTAGGATTGACTATCATTCAGAATTTAGATCCTCATAAAAAATGATTAAATTTCACAGAAATACAAAAAACACATAAAAAAATGATAAAAATTCACACCACCGCACAAATAAAATCAATCATAGAATTAAATTGAGAAATAATATTAATTGGTATCTCGCTAGAGAAATGCATATTTAAAAAGTGTTTTTGAGAGTATACTGGATGAGATAGTGAATGAAACATTAACCGTGAAAAAATATAAAGTTAATTCACTTATTAAAAGGGTGTGTATAGTATAAGATGAATTTAATAACTAATGGGGTAGGTATAAATGAGCTGAATTTAGTAATTTAAAATAAAAGGATTAAATATGGTAGAAAAAGAGAATTAAGGGGTGAGAATAGGCCCCACCCAATTGTAATTCAATAAAAAAAAATTAAAAGGAAAAGTTTTAGTCACACCCCTCTCTAATTTATCATATATTCATGCACACTCTTTCTAGTTTATGAATCTTCACTTATACATCCTATCAAATTTAAGACATTAACTATAATATAATTTTACTAAATTGTCCACGATATATTTTAAAAAAAATTTTATCTACACTCGTTAGATAGACATCTCTTCAATGAGACCCTCTCTATTTTATAAATTTTTTTACGTATTAAAATTCAAGTCAACTAAAATTCAATTTAAGCAGAATAAAATTCATTTGTAATCAGTTTGAATCAAATTTTAATCAACTCAAATTGAATTTTAATCGACTCGAATTTTGATATGTAAAAAAATATAAATTTTAATCAACTTTAATTGAATTTTAATTGGCATGGATTTTAATAAGTAAAAATAAATAAATTTTAATCGACTCGAGTCGAATTTTAATCGACCGTAACAATGCAAGTTGAGTTCAAATCAACTTACATAAAAAATTAAATTAATACGCTTGAATTTTAATACATAAAAAAATAAAATTTAATCAACTCAAATCGAATCGAATTTTAATCCGGTCAAATTTTAATTGAATTTTATGTAAAAAGATTGTTTTGGATTTATGTAAGTGTAATTTTAGTATTTTAGATAAAAAAAAAAAAAAAGGGTTTATTGGAAATGATGGTTTAATGACAGGGGTGTTAGAAATGTTTAAATAAAAATTAAAAAAAGTGTCAATGATATTTTAAATAATAAAAAATGTATTCTTGAAAATATAATAAACAAAAGTGGCTGAAATTTTCCCAAATAAAAAAATTCCGCATCATACGCCTTTCAATAACAAAAAACACAAATAAATTTTGACAAAAAAGGTATTTTAGAATACCTCAAGTTCATTAACTGAACTTCATCACCATTTTTCCACCACCACCACATACCAGCCTCGACCGTCCGACCTCTAGTGCACCAGAACACAAGGGTAGCCAACGGGTCAGAAAGTGGGGCCAGTGCCTTGCTCTCTTCATTTATCCTATTTATACACTCATATCTCAATTGGCTATGACCCACCATCAAAAAGTTGCATAATCACATACCAGCCTCGACCGTCCGACCTCTAGTGCACCAGAACACAAGGGTAGCCAACGGGTCAGAAAGTGGGGCCAGTGCCTTGCTCTCTTCATTTATCCTATTTATACACTCATATCTCAATTGGCTATGACCCACCATCAAAAAGTTGCATAACCACATACCAGCCTCGACCGTCCGACCTCTAGTGCACCAGAACACAAGGGTAGCCAACGGGTCAGAAAGTGGGGCCAGTGCCTTGCTCTCTTCATTTATCCTATTTATACACTCATATCTCAATTGGCTATGACCCACCATCAAAAAGTTGCATAATCCCAAAAGAAAATACTATGTAACGTAAATTTGTATCCTAAATAGACGGAGATCATTGGATAAGTGGGTCTTATCAATTTTTTTAAATGAGAATCACTAATCCAATGATCCTAATTGATTTGGAATACAAATTTAAATTTTAAATTTAGATTACATAGCATTGATCAATCCCAAATGTAATTCTTTATTTTTTCCAAACACTCTAACGCTTGTCGACAATTTTGTCAAATTTTATTTCTAAATCAATGTAAAATGTTAAATCAGTGTAATACGTTAACTTAACTATACATGCATAGTTTTTAAACTTGACCCGAACCTCTACTCAATAAAAGGGCTGGGTCAACGGATTATTGGTTCAACCACTAATTCACTGGTCGGACTAGTTATATAATAAAAAAATAAAAAATAATGATTAATGCTAACAAATATGCCAAAAAAATATAATAATTATAAAAACAACATATAACCCGTTCGGTTTGGACAGTTAGTTCAAAAACTGTTCGATTTAACGGGTCTTGGACAATTTTGGTGTTTAACCGATATAACATATGAACCGGCCTGGTTTAATGTCTGGTTCACCGAGTTACTGTGTCAACTGTTAGGTCGAATCGAATTTTAAAACACTGTATACATGTTACTGATATTTTCTTTTTTATTATTATTTTAGGATCCTTACTATGTCTAAACATTCAAGATTTACATGATTCGTCAAAGATTAATTGTTACGCAAATCAAACAAGAAACAACGGTATTTTAAAATACACATCTCCAAGGATTAACGGTGGTTTAATAACTCCTTAACTTGTTATTGAACTGTTAAATTACAGGTTCGAATCTCACCGGTTCCCTCCTTCGTAAAAGTTTCAAATAATGACCAAAAAAAGAAAGAATATGCATCTGCCACCCATCTCACCTTCGTGTATATCAAGCCTTGAATCCTTATACAAGTTTTTTTTTCAAAAAACCTAAAGGGGATTATAGAAACTTTTGAAAATATGAGAGGAACCACGGCTCCCTTTGGCCCACACTTAGTTCCCTCACTTAGTTCCCTCAATGGGGTGTTGGTGATTGCGGGATAGGCATAATTCAAGATAAGGACTTACACCAGTTTAACCCATTCCACACCCATATTTAACCAATTCCAAATTGTCTATTCAATTGGATAGATATTATCCAATTAATTTATAACTCGTAAAAATAAAACAAGTACTCAAGCCACAAAATTACATGTGGGTTGGGCGGGTTGGTTTCTACACTACACT